AAAGCATCAATCTGGTGCACTTTGAGAGCAACATTAACCCTACCTTAATAACACCTTAAAGCGGACAAAAGGCACTGGAGAACACTCATTAACACCCTTTAATGAAGCAAACTAATGCCTTAACTCTGTAGTTATAATAGTCGTTTACTTATTAAGGTGAAACGAATGTGCGTAGAGTTTTAAAGGATGCGAATAGTCTCACCTTGATTCTGGCGCATTGCTTATCGTTTTATAGATCTATTCTCATCCACCATCTTTGTTTGTGACGTAAAGAGTGTAACGGCCCATCCACACAGCAGCGTCCGTTGACGCTTGCCGGCGGGCGTGTCTGACACTCGACCAACAACCAATCACATGAATCTCCCGCCCCTGACACACAAGCAGCGGTTTGATTGGCTAGAGCTTGTACTGGCATATGATTCGATTGGCTGACGCTTCTGCCGAGGCGTCAAAAGTTGAGCATTGCTCAACTTTTGCAGCGAGCCACGCCAGCAACGCTCCGCGTCGCTTCCCACGATGCAGTTCGGCTAAAAGTGACGTCACTCCATTCAAAGTGAATGGGCAGAAGCGTTGGAAGCTTCAACGCACGCCGCTGTGTGGACGGGCCGACGTTTCTGATTCGGACACTCTGAGTGGATGCAGTCACAGCCAATCGGAGTCTGATTCAGAGGGTTGCCTGTCAGTTCTGTTGTTATGTGTACTGAAACGAGAGCCGGTATAATTCCACGCGTGAAAACAAAATAAAAATTGGAATACGTTATTTTAGTGTCTTAAAAGTAGACTGAGTTATGAAGGGTTAACGTTACATCTTAGGATAATTTTTAGTCATGTTCTGTATACATACTAACATATAAGGGTATACTTAGTGTGGTTACTCCATGTTTACTAGCTATAACATTAACGTTACATCACTCTTTTTCACTTCTTACTCAGTCAGCCAGAGGGCAGATATCACCATTAGATTAACAAACCTGAAACATCATCCATTTCTTGACTGCTGGTGATGACATTGTTGTCAGCTGCTGATACTGCTGCTGTTGATACTGCTGCTATTGCAGCTTGTGGCCTGCTTCGATGACAATAACTTTCTAATATCCATAACTGTATATGCTATTAGCTTAAAACTCGTCAGGCACTAGGAAGGATCACTTCTTCTTCAGGGCAGGCTATGCAGTACGCAGGCTAATGTCCCACAGTGGCTGCCTCTCTGGTGGACTCCGGTACTGCACATTACTCCTGAGACGTTTTCAAAAAAAACGTTTTTTTTTTATTTAAGTGAAACATCCGGGGCTTTTCAGAAAACATCCGGGGCTTGAGCCCAAGTAGCCACCCCCTAGCGCCGCCCCTGGTGCCCAGCATTCTCCTGTGCTCTGAAATCAAAATGTGGATATGCATAAAACAACACTACAATACAACTTGTTATTTGACACACACAAGGTTGTTCATTTGTGTGTATAAATATACAACACAGGCTATATACATATATATGTAAATGTACTTAGTTACTATCCACCACCACCTTTAGGATATAAACAGTTGTTATGAAATTGTTCAGTAGGTGTCATGAAGTGGACGTGATATCTATTTATAAATGGGGAAGAAGACTAAGAGGGAAGAAGCCCGTCACACACACTGTTACGTTCCCTCTTTGCTAGGGGTAAAAAGGGGAAACGACACGACGCAGTTTGTAATTGGTATTGGTTACCGGTGGGTTTATTTATGACTGCAAGTAAGCAAAATGATGTACACTGCCAGCTTGGCCCAACAACGGGTCAAGCTGTCACTATCCAACAACAGGGGTCTCCAAAAGAGAGTTGCCCCGCTATACAAAAGGAAAGAAAATCTCACTTCTAAAGTGGAAACAAAACATAACAAAACGGGACTGTGTGGAAACACAGCTGTTGCTGATCAACCGGTGCTAATCAGCAATATACACAAATGCTGATCTACAGGCGCTAAACTAACCTGGGTCTAAGCTGTTTCACAATGTCACTAATCTAAATGCGGGTCTACAGGAGCTAAGCAACCTGGATCTACGCAACACACACACACAAACCCTACACTAAACACAGAATACCACGACACACTGATTGATTGATTGAAAAGTGTATTAACAGCTTGTATATTGGGTACAGTACAGTACAGCTCAAAACATACAATTGTTAAGGGGATGCAGACCAGAGAAAGACTTTCGTCTTGTTTACATCAGGGTCCCCCATTTCCAATTCATCATGTCATTTAAGACATATAAGACATATTTGACATACAGATGGCTTATTTACAATTTACATACTGGTGTTTTTTTTACATACAGATTGCTTATTTACCATTTTCATTTTAGATTTCGTTCTAATACATCCTAACCGGACATTTAAGACATACCAAGTCTACAGATATACTGTTAGTAACAGAGTCTAAAATGCGAGTATATACATAGACGGGGGGGGGGGGGGGGGGGGAAGCTGTCCACAAGAATTTTGACATGTACATGGGTACCATAGAGGTGTAGTGGATCTTGTAGACCAGGCCCATTGCAAGTAGCTGTACTCTGTCGTCTACTCTAAGCCATCCTAGGTTGTCAAAGTGGGCAGAGGTGAGGTGGGTTCTAGATGAAAGGTCAAGCAGTAGTCTGACCAGTTTATTTTGCGATGTTTGAAGTTTTATTTTTAGCGCCTTGGAGGTGCTATGGTACCATGACGTGCAAGCATAGTCATAGTAGTAGTACCCTTGAATGAGTGCTCCTGCCAGAGTTTTCAGGGTGTTTTTGTTTACCAGAGAGGAGATCCGGTATAGGAATCTAGTTCTTTGATTGACTTTTTTTATTACATTGGATGCCATTTTGTCACAGGAGAGGTTTGCCTCAAGAATAGATCCTAGGTATGTAATTTCCTTCTTACTTGTGACAATAATGTCACCCACTGCAACTGAGAAGTCGTCGGATTTGCTGAGATTATGTTTCGAACCGAAGAGAATGGACAGGTGTAATGATAATTGATTATCGGCGAGCCAGGTGCAGATTCTGCCGAGCTCGGAGCTGAGGGTTTTTTCAACCTGCAACCTGTTCCTGTCAGAGACCAGCAGGGCTGAGTCGTCCGCGAACAGGAACAAGTTGCAGTCACATGCTGATGACATGTCATTTACATAAATTAGGAACAGTAACGGACCTAATATGCTTCCTTGTGGAACACCACAGCTCACTGGGAGGGGGGGGGGACAGAGTACCGTTTACCTCCACCATCTGTTCTCTCCCCTCCAGGTAGGATTGCATCCAGCTCACCGATAGTTTATCAAAACCAATTGCTTTTAGCTTGTCAATCAGAATGGGGTGATTGACTGTGTCGACAACAGCAGTAAGAAAGCTTTCTGCAGCATCAGTGTTACATCTCAGGAGCTGCAGCGCTCTCTAGTGGACAGTTGTGACACCAGAGAGAGAAATGGCAGTACAGAGCTGCAGGGAAATTACCTTAAAAATAGAAGTAGAACATAGCTATAAATGCTGTGACACCAGTCCTAAACATATCATTTCTGGAGGCAATGCTTTAATTACAGTTACAGTAGAACAGCCTAAAAAACAACTACTGCACTGAAGTCACAGCAAGAAGAAAACACAGAAAAATACTTTGCTGCTATCTCCATACTCTCTCCTATATGGCAGTCATTTCAATATTCCTCTAACCAAAAATACTGAAGAACACCGTTTCTAAACATATTCTTCAATGTGCAATATAGTCCCTTTGAAAAGGTTTTCTCACAATTAATAAATAAATACTTTAAGAAGTTAAGACATGAGATGACATTAATGAAATGATGGAGTGACAGTGGAAAAGGGGAAAAGGAAGAGTCTATACATTCATTATTTCTTTTAGAAATTGATTGCCATAATGAAGCAAATGTTGTGTTACAAAAAAGTGAATAAATTGCTTAAAAATACACAGCTTTACAGCCGTTTAGGACAGAGAGTGAATACCGGTGAATACACATATTTACAGAGATGCTGTATGAGAAACCAATGTGAGTTTGGAAAATTGCACAGTATACGTCTATTTTAGTTTACCTCAACAATGGAATTATGACCAGTAGAAATGGCCATGATGTGCCCTTTAAAAATATATAGCTTTTTCTGAGGACAGAACCCAATAAAATTGATATTTAAAATGGCAAATTATTTCCAAAAGGATTACGTGAAGCAGCCACAGATAATAGCACACACGTAAGCTGTTTTTTGTTTTTTAAGAATAGCATTTAGATACTTAACTTCACATTTCTGCTACACTGACTGCTGTGTGATTGTTCATATTGCTGTTTTGTCCTTTACAAATAAACACAGCATTTGTTTAGCCAGGGTTATAATCTGCACAGACATGATGGACAACCTGATGTGATTGGATGATTATGGTGACATATAATGTGGGTTTGCTGTCCTGGCTCCAAGATGGTGGAATGAGCTCCCCATTGACATCAGGACGGCAGATAGCTTGCACATCTTCCGGCGCAAACTGAAAACTCATCTCTTTCGACTCCACTTCGAGCGTTAGAACTATTAACGAAGCACTTTTATACTAATAAAGGACTGGCTTACCTAAAGCCAGTTGAGTAGCACTTGAAATGTTTGGCTCTATGAAACCTGATGTACTTATATGATTCTGTTTTCTTCAAGGTTGTGTCTTCCTGGTCGAATGTAAGTCGCTTTGGATAAAAGTGTCAGCCAAATGCAATGTAATGTAATGTAATATAAGAGCCTTTATCTGTATCCAACCAGAGTGGGACCCACGTACACTGAATACAGATGTTTGTTCCCAAAATAACCCAGAAAGATGTGACCATTTGTTGATGAATTTAGCAATATTACGTTGTACCAGTTGTTGGACTTTTTGGAAGTTTGAAGCACAAGCCAAACCTGCTTTCCCTTCCTTTATCAATATCAACAAAAAGTCATACGGACATCATACGGACATTTTTACCTGGGGCGCTTCCCCTTAAGAAAACAAAACAAAATGAACTCAACATTAGAGAATTTTTTATATTTGAACCACCAAATTAAGCCAACATTTTCCACTGGTATAAATATCAAAGGGTCCTTTCTGAAAAACACCTTGAATTGGCAATCAGGTCACATCTGGCACAGCTGCCGTCACACACACAGGTCCACCAGTGATAAACACATTCTGTATATAATCTGTATTTCTGCCCTGAAGCTGCTAACATTACAGCACAAAGAAGCAGATATTGGCAGTGTAGAAACCATTATTGTTTCTACCAATGTAACAAACAGATGCAACAATCCCACCACCTTACAAAACATGTGGTAAAACAGCTCGTTGTCAGAGATTAAATCTATGTCACAGAGAATAAGCCAATTCAACAAAATCATGATTGTATTCTGAGAGCTTTTCTGCAAATGATTGACCACTATTCTGAGAGGGTGCTGGTGTCAGTCTCCTTCAACATAAAACACTATTCTTATATGGAGGATTGTATCTGTAACTGATCCTGTCAAACGCTTCAGGGTAACTTAGCTATTCTTCTCAGGACATTATTTTGTGTTAATACATGATGAAATTATGTCAATGGCTCTTTTACTAAATGATGAATGGCACCGAAAACACAGGAAAAACAGACACAAACTCACATATAAATGCACGTGGCGAATGGCAAAGGTGAATTCAGTCTGAATAAAACACAACATTTAGATATAATAGAACAAATATAAAAAATATCTATGTATAAATATAAACAATCACGACAGAAAAACTTAGAATCTGTGGAGGAGGAGGGGGGGTAACAATACAGTACAGGGAGTGTTGAGAGTAGAAGTACTCAGATCTTGTACTTGAGTAAAAGTAGAAGTACTCAGATCTTGTTCTTGAGTAAGTAAGTAAGTAAGTAAAACTTTATTTATATAGCACCCTTCTCAACACGGATGTACAAAGTGCTTTACAGTACAGTACACAGGACACAATTCAAAGTAAAACTATAAAATGTAGAATAAAAGGCATAAAATAGCAGCAGGTAATACATAGGATAAAACATACGACAAAACACCAATAAAATAAAGACAGCCACTAACTCACCTCCTCCGACGACCCAAAGGCCTGTCGGAACAGGTGTGTCTTTAACTGCCCCTTAAACATCTCTATTGAGGCCGAGGTTTTTATTATCTGGGGGAGTTTGTTCCAAAGCCTTGGGGCCACCACCTCAAAGGCACGGTCACCCTTAGTCTTTAGCCTGGTTCGGGGCACCCTTAGGAGGCCTTGCTCAGAGGACCTCAGGGCCCGGGTTGTGATGTGCGGGTGGATAAGGTCATTGATGTAGGCTGGGGCTTGGCCATGGACAGCTCTATATGTGAAGACCAGTACTTTGAATTGGGTTCTGAGATGGACAGGGAGCCAGTGCAGGGCAGAAAGGATCGGAGTGATGTGGCATATTTTTTTGGACCGAGTCAGCAATCTGGCTGCAGCATTTTGGATCTGTTGTAACCGGTTTATTGATGTTTTGTTGAGTCAGGAGAACAGAGCATTACAATAATCAAGCCGGGATGAAATAAAGGCATGGATAGCCATCTCCAGTTCTGCATTGGATAGAAAGCCCCTGAGCTTGGCAATGTTCCTGAGATGGAAAAAACAGGTACGGGTCAGAAGTTTTATGTGTTTGTCTAGTAGCATAGACTGATCGAAGGTAACACCAAGGTTTTTTATGTTTGCCCTTATGTTACCACTGAATGAACCCAGGTGGCTTGCTACCTTAGAGGCGATGTTATCAGCCGAAAAGATCAAGACTTCCGTTTTTGATGCATTAAGCTGTAGGACGTTGCTTGACATCCACTCCTCAATTGCAGACAGACATGTGATGAGGGTGTTTACTTTTTCCATTTTGACAGGTTTGAAGGAGAAGTATATCTGGATATCATCTGCGTAACAGTGATACGAGACACCTTCAAATTGGCTAATTAAGTGGCCCAATGGAAGCATGTACAGGGCAAAAAGAAGGGGGACTAAAACAGAACCCTGGGGCAGGCCGCAGGATAGGGGAGTGCTATGTAAGGGGGGGTAACAATACAGTACAGCGAGTGTTGAGAGCAGTGCATTCAAACTGAAAAACACACATTAATAGGTATATAGAGGATATCCAGGTAGAAATGTCTATCTGACCAACAGTGGTAATACAAGTCGTCTATAACAGAAATGTGTAACAGTACAGTAACTCACAAACACTGGACTCCCAAACCAAATGACGTGGAATGAACAAAAGCTGACGTTTTTTGTCGTTTTTCTTTTTTCTCTGATGTGTTTTTCGCTCACACACAAATCACTGCCAGCGTCCCGGGTCAGCAGGGGGTCCTCGGGGTGCTGCCCTCCTCTCTCTCCTCCCCCTCAGGGTGAGCCACAGTGGGTGAGGGGCTCTAGGCCATGACGTCCTCCAGCGCCGGCAGGAAACCCTTCTCCGTCAGGTGAGCCTTCAGGGAGTTGAAGATGTGGAGCTGCTGGTCGATGCGCAGCGCCAGGAGCTGCTGGATCACCTTGCTGGGGTCCGGGCCCCTGAGAGGAGAGGGGAGATAATTAGGGAGGGGAATTACTAAGATTAGAACCGTCAAATCTCACCATCGATCCCAAATAAATTGATGGGCGGTAAACAAATAAATACGAAAAATATGAACATAGCCTTTAAGTTTATTTATTTATTTGTATTATATATACTATTTTGTATGTTCTTTCCCACTATGACGATGTATGTCATTAAGTATAGTATTGCTGTCATGCTATGTTCTGTCTTTGTTATCTCTTGTTGGCTGTTCTGTTTGTCTTCTATGTTGAAAAGAAGTCTGTACCATTGCTAACACTTGTATGCTTCTTCTCAATGAAAATATTTGAAACAAAAAATATGAACATGTTAAACTTGAGGGCTCCTTTTCTGAGGGTTCAAGCTGGAACCACGTGCTATATCTGCTTTGAGTTCGTTTATAAAAAGTGCTGGAGCTTGACTACATAGTATTTTTACAGCCTGATCAACATCGTAAACTCAATATGAAGTTACATTTAAAATATTTTTTTTCAGTAATCATGAAGTCTCAAAGGCACCCTTCAGCGATATTCACCAATACTGAAAAGTCTCAAACTAAATTCAGTTTTCATACTTTAGTTTCATGTTTGTATATTTATTCAGTGTCAGAGGAAGACATACAACAACTCAAGATACAGAGATAACTTAATGGTTATTAGCAAGCTAGCTAATTTAATGATTCAACCGACAGTTTGCTTTCTTCAAGAAATAAAATGCTTTCTCTAACAGTCGGAAATAAAAAAATAACCACTAACTTTGATGATGAATTTCTTCACTGTCACTGTACATTGCTGATTAGGTTATACAACATATGAACAAACCATAGCTGTGTGTTTACCTGATGAAGCTGGCAATGTAGACTTTAACAAATGTCGCCATGAGGTACTGGCAGTCGAACCGGTCCATAATGCCATCGTGACCCGGGATCGTGTTGGCAAAATTCTGGAAGAACAAACAACAGTACATGTGATCAGACTGCTGCTATGAATATAATATACATGGAGCAAAGACAACAGACAATAAAGGGATAGTTGTATTGTTTTGAAGTAAACAAACGTGTCAGAAATCCCTACTTTGATCTTGAAGCCGCTCTTGAAGCCGCTGGCGAAGAATCCTAGGGTCCCATGATGGAGGCGAAGGAGGAGAGAGCGATGCTGTGGATCTGGAACGGATACAGACACACCGTGGTCTGCGGTGACAAGGAACATGTGTCAGACTGAAACAGAGACCAGCAGTTCAATCAAACTACACTAGTTACTTGGCTAAAATAGGACTTGCATCCCCAGGCTTTTAGTATCAGAATTAAACCTGGCTGAGAAAAATATGATGAGGTTGAAACGTATGATAAAAACCTGGTGTTAAACGGGACTTTGGTTCTGTTAATGTGTACTCTAGAAACAAGGTAGGTCTAGGTTGCGCCACAAATACATTCTTCTACAAATATTATGGATCCCTCTTGTTTTTTGGCATACTGGATTTGCAATAAAGTGATTTTATTGTTTCATAGTTACATTCATGTTTATATGACTTTTGATGCCAGAAAACAGGAAGGACAGATGAAGGTCAGGAGAGTCTTACCCATCCGGTGAAGGACTCCAGGATGGAGGGCAGGGTGTAGAACTCCACCGGGCAGACAAAGTAACGCCAGCCGGACATCACGTAGGAGAGCTGGGGGAGAACAAGCTTCAAAAACTATCACAGTTTCGTTCTTGTTAATTTACAACTGAGGTTTTCTTACTAACAATAACAGTGCAGAACATGGATTGACTGGATCGTGCTGTTCATCCTATGTAATCTATATATCAAGAAAAAGGTCTAAATATGTAAGATAATGCTGTGAAACAATCTCAATAATTGGCTGCAAAAATGTAAGTTTTTTTTTATTGGAATAAAAGGATACATGTTGAGATAGGAAGTTCTAATACCTTAAGAGAAGAGCTTGAATATTAAAAAAATACAAACTCTTTTGGCTCCTTCCTTTCTTTCTACTGGGTCTTTCTTGGCTCTGTACTGGCTATCTTCTAGCTCTATTCAGGTTTTTGGAGTTTTTTTCTAGCTCTATCCCTGATCATTTTCAGAAACCAAAGGCTCTATACAGACTATCTTCTGGTTCTCCTCTGGATCCATCCACTATCTCTTGTCTCTCCAGTGAATTACACTTGTGTTAATGGAGCAGCTAAAGCAGGGGTTCTCAAAGTTTTGATGAGTGAGGGCCAATTTAGGTACCCAATATTGGATTGAGGGCCGCCCAAGAAAAAACGGAACACAAAATAATTCCAAAACAAATCCTTTCTTTATTGTACTAACCAATTACCGCAACTCGCGAGATGCCTAGTTGCCATGCAACCAGTAGTCTAGCAAACTTTCCACAAGCTGTCATTCATAATTTAGGAATGACAACCCAGGGGGCGCAGTTTTACCATTCTTAACCCTCTGGAGTCTAAGGGTATTTTCTCGATTTTTAGATGTTTTCTTAAATCACCTTTTAAATGTATTTCTTCTAACATGGCACCCCATGTGTTCAATATCAAAATGTTCAGGACAATCTCTGGTCTTGCTATATATGCGAATTACTCACCTTAGAGCACTGTTTGATGAGATAAGTAGCTCAAAAGCTTAAAATGTGAAATCTGATTTTTGGAAAATCTTCAAAACTCTTGTGAAAACACAAATTTACTCATGTGATCACATTGTTTTGGTGTTTTAGATTTGGTTACCAAAGTCTTAGGATCACAAAAGCAGTGAAATATTTGAATTACACTGTATATAAATGTGTTATTCATGTCTAAAATGAAAAACATTAAATTCAAATTTTGAGTAAAATAGGTGTTTATCACTCTACTTTCACCGCAGCAGGGGCTGAGATACATTAGGACTGAATAATGACTTCATATTACATACCAAGGTTCATGTGATGTGTACAAATACAAATTGAGCATTCAACCTTTTTTTTTCAACCAACAATTTATTATAAATACGTTTTTTTCAACCAACTATTTATATAAATATAAGAAACTGGAAAATCTCACTATTTACAATATTGAACATCAGAACTTTCAACCAACTATTCATTATAAATGTCAAGACAGTGTCAAGGTCTTTGTCGGTCTTCCAAGACAGTGGGTCTGGCTGCTGTGTAGGTGGGGGTGATGGTGCATGGGCTGCTGTGGAGGTGGGGTGTACAAGTGCTATACGTGACCTCCACGAGACCTCCTTGCAGGCTGGGTCGAAGGTGATGGCTGTGGTGGAGCCTTTGTGCTGAGGTGTATCTTGACCTGGTGGCAGCCGCAGATGGAGGTGGAGGCCGCTGTAGTGATGCTGGTCTGCTGGTCCTTGGTGGTGAAGGCCCTTGAGCCACGGTAGATCTTGACCTGTGGGCAGGCACAGATGGATGTTCTGGCTGCTGGATAAACGCCGCCACCTGTGGGCCACTAGGCCCAGACAGCTGTGAAACATCTCTGTAAAACAAATTAAAATGTAGGACAATAATTACAACACATTTCATTGAAATAAAGTTCAAGTAAAATGTTGCTCAAGCACAAATAACAATAAACACATACAAATAAAGTTTGGGAGGTTGCAGAAGGAGTCTCTTTCGATCACACACACACACACACACACACACACACACACACACACACACACACACACACACACACACACACACACACACACACACACACACACACACACACACACACACACACACACACACACACACACACACACACACACACACACACACACACACACACACACACACACACACACACACACACACACACACACACACACACACACACACACACACACACACACACACACACACTTATTTCCAGTTACTTTACATTCAGTATAAAATCACAGACACACACGCTACATCTGATTACAAAGTCTCATCTGTACAGAACAGTATGATAAAATAATCGATGGCAAAAACATGTCACTGTAAATGTCTCCGTTGTGGGACGAATAAATTATTAATGTAATCATCTACACATGTAATCTCACTTTTACACACCAAAATAACGTTAACACAGAGTAAACGTTTGCTAATGGAGAGTCTATTTTGTCTCAATAAAAAGTTCATGACTATCGATAAAAAATATATATCAATAAACCTATTGTTCATTTTCGCGGTATTCCCCACACATTGCCAGTACACTATTACTGTAATATTTACACTTACCCATGTCCAAATGGATCCTTGTTGTTGTCTTTGTATTCTTCTTCTTCAGAAGAGTCAAAGACTTCAGGTTCAACGTTTTTTTTAGCCATTTTATCTGTCTCTCTCTCTCTCTCGTAAACTGATAGGAGACACGTGGTTTATGTTTTTTTACTTGGTGGGTAGGCCCTTAGTGATTTCTCGATGTCCATTGGTCATTTCAGACCATGATGGCTGCCGGCCGAGATTTCCTTGACGGACACACAAATCCACCAATCCCACACAGTGTAAAGTCAAGCTGCTTTGAGCAGCCATATTGGCTGCTGTGCCCTGGTTACAGTCTCACAGGAGATACCGCTGGAAAGCTACTCATTCTAATTCTTACTAGATACAACCATGGAGGATTAAAATATAACGCATGCATTTCAGTGTGTCACATTAACTATCGCGGGCCGCCAGAAACATTTCCGAGGGCCGCCATTGGCCCGCGGGCCGCACTTTAAGAACCCCTGAGCTAAAGCATATAACAGATACTTTCAGCATTATCGGAGCACGAAGTGGAAGCTTGGATGAAACACCCACAACTTAGAAGAAATAAAGTTGGGTTTTATGTGTTCTAGTATTGCAATGCAAACCCATGATGTAATGACAGTAATTAAGAATAATTTAGTCATTGAATGCTCATTTCAGTAGATTTAATCAAACAAAACATATTGGACATGGCCTCAAGACTGTAACCTCTTCACATTCTGTTGAAATAGTCAATTACGAGCCATATCTTACACATTGCTGTTTTGAATCATTAATATGTGGATGACAGTTGAACTGGAAGATGTAACATTTATGCCATCTGCTGGAAAGAAGACGTATCGCTCTGTGTGCGTCGTTTGGACAACAAAAACAGAGTGAAGCTCTCATTTCATAAACAATCTTTGAGTACAGACACCGTCCTTCAGAGAGCACACAACCCAGCAGCACGTTTTTGGTCTAGCGTCACTTTACAAAACCTTTTGCATTAAGACACTAAGACTAGCTGGTCCATTGTAAAGGTCAGTCCACCGTAAATGAGCAGTGGGTGATCAGCCGGTGAAAGGCAGGACACGGGAACTTGGTCCTGAGGAGATGTAACAATTATTAAACAAGAGATAGTCGAGTAAAGGGGTCAAAGAAATGAACATTTGTGATTATTAGCGAATCGGTTGCAGGTGGGTGAAATCAGGCTTAGGGAGTAACGTATTACATGTAACGGCATTAGGTCATCAGGATACAAAATAGGAAAATGTATTCCCTTACAGTTACAGAAGCAAACACATCAGATAACAGGTACATTTATGTAAAACAGCAGGGCTCATTAACAGGATAGCAATGATACAAAACATTTAGAAATAAAGAACAATACATCAAATCATCCTATATCTCTATATGGAAACTTGGAGCCCGATAACCGATATTTGGAACCGATACATTTGCAGTAAAATCAGAAAATATTGGTGTCAAAATTTAGAATAACACAAACTGCAACACAACTTAGTTGAAATGCTTTTAAGCATACGTTTAATTAACTTTTCAACATCTTAAAACAAGGGAGATTCCAGCAGCATTTCTTATGAAGCTAGTTTCTCTCATGAACTGACTCAGTTTAACTGGGAAACTGATATAATTGGATCATAAGATGGTGGTGTTTTTGCAACTTCAGCATAGAGGATTGGGAGGTTTATTGAACTTCGACTTTCAACTGACTTACCTTCGAAACACGTGTATGGCTCTGCCACTCACCGCTGCTTCTTGCTTCTGTCTGTGTCTGCGTTCTTAGCTCCTGCCTGTAATCTGAGAAGGTCCCGTCTCTCTGGCTGGCTGCAGCCCAGAACATCTTCAGTGTTGATTGACACTTCAGGAATAGCCTATCAGATAGCGCTGTGTCCGGGACATTGCTCGTGAACACAGAGTGGTGACTGCAGCCAGAGAAACGGCCGCATCAGAGCCAAAGTTTAACGGCAATTGGATAAAGAAAATGCCGATACAGATAATCTGTAAAATGCGGAATATCGGCCTCGATAATCGGCCAGGCCGATAATCGGTCAAACCCAAACCCCAAATCCAGTCAGACAGATTTCTCTCATGTGTGAACTGTCATAAGACTTATTCATTGTCCTCTCCATCAGCTTCTGTTTCCATGTGTTCAGCTGAGCTGCTGGTTGGAGGCTCTGCATCTCCGTTATCCTCAGTTTGAATTTCATTAAGCTGTGAGGACTGATGACCAACACACTTGTGTCTTTTTAAATTACTACGCCATTTAAATCTTTTGTCACAAACATTGCAGCTGTATATTTCCTCTCCTGTGTGGACTCTCATGTGTTCCTTTAAATGTCCACTCTGTGAAAAAGCTTTCTTACAGACTGAGCAGCTGTGTGGTTTCTCTCCTGTGTGGACTCTCATGTGTCCATTTACATTTCTTTTTGCTGCAAAAGATTTCTCACAAACTGAGCAGCTGTATGGTTTCTCTCCTGTGTGGATTCTCATGTGTGCCTTTATATGTCCACTCTGTGAAAAAGATTTCTCACAAACTGAGCAGTTGAATGGTTTCTCTCCTGTATGGACTCTCATGTGTTCCTTTACATTTCTATTGTGTGTAAAAGCTTTCTTACAGACTGAGCAGCTGTGTCGTTTCTCTCCTGTGTGGATTATCATGTGTGCCTTTAAATTTCCACTCTGTGAAAAAGCTTTCTTACAGATTGAGCAGCTGAATGGTTTCTTTCCAGCACTACCTCTTGGATCACTGACAGATTCTTGTCTATTTTTCAGTGAGTTTGAGCCTGACGCAGGTTCTCTGGTCTCCTTCCAATCAGCACTGTCTTCAGTGTCAGGTTCAGAAGAGTCTCCAGTGTCGTCCTCAGTCTTTGGTTGTAAACTGCTCTCTGGATCTGAGTTCCTGGCTGGTTCTGGTTCTCCACAGTCATCTCCATCAGCTTCTGTTTCCATGTGTTCAGTTTGTCTTTGATGAGGCTGAGAGGACTGAGGTTTCTCTTTATTATCTTCACTCTTCACAGGGTCAGGAGTGAAAGTGGACTTGCTGATATCAGCCTCCTCCATCTCCTGAAGCT